GGCAATGGCACTGGTCACACCAACGAAAGAGGTTTTGATAGAAACGGCGATTCCCTCAGACACAGACGAAGATTCGATTGACGCTTCGACGCTTATGGGCCGTATGCCTTGGTTGTTCCAGCTAGAGCCAGGACCAACCTGGGTAGCCCCTATGGCTAGAATGTACTAATCTCTTAAGATGGCGAATGACAAGAGCAATTTATGCTCAGACAAGACTTGGGCGCAAACACACTTTACAAGACAAACAAACCGAGCACCTTTATTTGAATTTGCTGCAAATTGCAGAAGCGTGCACAGGCCAGTCGAGTCCCTTTTCTTAAAAACTTTGGTGTTGATTTGTTTGGTCTTAACGTGCTTAAAAGTGGATGCAACTCAACCTAAACGTGCATTAGCTATAACTATGTTAATTGCGTGTAGCAATTTAAACTGGTTAGTTGTCGCAATAGAATTAGGTAAGTAGTTAATAGCTAGTTAACGCTGACTCCAGAAGAATTATGTGACGGTCATTACTGGCGCCTAGCCAATAATAGACGACTCCGCTTCTTGTGATACTGACGTGAACATGTCTTATCTCTCGAGCTGCCCAAACTGTTCGGTATCATTCCGGCTATTCTCTTGGTCCTCGCACAAGTTGACGATCCTTAGTTTCTGCTCCTCACCTCTTCTAGACCACTTCAAGTTAAGTGGCTTTACCCCAATTTGCATGAGCGTTTTCCGACGTTTCCCATGTTTATCGTGTCAGTACCTGCTCTAGAACTGAACCACAGTACTGTGGCATTCGAATAAGCGGCTTGTGAACGGAGCATAACTACCCCGATCTCTAGTCTTTCTATCCCAACTGAACTTGATGGTGAGGTTGACAATAATGATGCCCTTTCGATCCAGCATCCATATAGACGGAAATATCACAAAAAGATTGTACGTTCGCACAGGTATGCTGATGTACATAACAGTAAGGGTGACTCGTTATCTATCTGAATTACTTTCCTCCATTAGGAAGGCTGCAGCTCAGGACAGACTCTAGGGTATGAGTTCTATTACAAGAAAGACAGGAGAACAAATTATTCAGCCTAGCTGCGTATGTGTGTCGTTTAGAAGTCACCCCACCCCGCCCCCCGCAATTCGGGCAAGTCTTTCCATAACCGAGTCCATTTCGCGATGTCACGTACGCGCACTCTTCCGGTCTCGCATGGGCATACATCAACCTTTTCAAGGAGGGAAGTGCCATCGTCAACAAGATCGCTGTTGATAACAAATGTTCTTTTCTTTTCAATGTTCAATCTGAGCGCCCAGACACTCACTTATGAACCACGGCACCCAAACCTCTTTCACCCAGATCCCCACTGCACGTAGGCCTGCAAGGACTTGGTAGCATCCGTCCAGCGTTGCACAGTCCCCAAATGCTGTCTCGCCGCCTGCGATAGTGATACCTTCCGTGATCGTGCCGTCGATAGCGAAGAACAAACTGTACCGTCCGCCAACTGCCATAATCAGTGGTAACGGCATAGAAACTACGTCGCGTTTGGTGGGTCGTAGCAAGGTGCGCAGGCGGTTGAAATGCGTCGCTGCCCAAAGCGAAAGTTGTGCTAGTGCGGTTGATTCGCTGCCGTTTGGGGTTTTTGTTTCGATGGAAACCGCGATGGGGTCTTGTCTCAAGCTTTGTACGCTCGCGCTCGTGTGGTTGATACTATCAATCTCGTTGCGTGAATCCGCAAGCACCTGCTGGACAAGATGTGATGGGATCAAACTATCATCGCAGACCAACGCGTAATCGACTAGCTTAGATTCCGTGTTACTGAACCCGGTCTTTGGGACGAGGTGTGGATTTGGTCGGGCTGATGTAATGTTCTGTTGTTGAATACCCGGCAGGTGCATGCACACCTGGCGCAGCATCATGAAGTGCACGTCGCTATTCCAGCGCGGCTCGGCAGCATCCGAATCCTGCAACTTGTGAGTTTTATCTCTTATCTCTTCCATGATCTCCAGCTCCATCAAGATCTTCCCGTTTGACGGCAGCGCGCTAGGTGTTTGGCTCCACCACCAATCCTCTGCTTCCACACGTCCCTCAACATCAGACCTGATCTCATGCGGTATCACACCTTTTCCCCTTCTTATGTTTTCCACCTCGCGCACCAGCTGTTGTATTGTGTCTGGATAATTCTTCTCTTCCAAATGCATCCTCTTTACCCTGCGATCCAGCAAGCTGAGATCCACCATGCTCTTTACTGGGCTCTTGGACCTGCTCATCGCTCTCCTACTCGAGCTGGATGTGACTGTCGTCTCGGTAATGACGCTCTCAGTATCTACTGGCGTACGGAAAGACCGGGAGCTTTGTGATTGAGTATCGGCGGATATCCAGTGGTGTGCGGATGTGGTAGACGGTAGACTGGTGAGGCCAGGTTGCCTGAGCATCCGTAGCTCTGAGGGAAGATGTTTTGCAGTGCAATTGTTGCCTATGTCTTCCATGTTTTGCTCTCCCTCACTTCCTTCCGCGATATGGAACGCCGCAACGTTTACCTCCACCGACACAATCTCGTCTCTAATGGACTGTTGACGACTCTTCGATCTCGTTACCCGCGCATTGGGTTTTTTGTTGTCTCGTATCATTTTTGTCTGTATCCTAGCGGCCGAACACGATTTTGCTGTGTGGCAGGTAGCTCGCAGCGCATCATCGGCGCGGCCTTTCTCCGATCGGTTATGCGCCACGAAGACGGCCTCCAACCAGTCGTGGATGCTGCGCGAGTCTGAATAACGCGATGAGTCTGGTTGTTGTGAAGGAATATCAGAGTATGAAGATTTTGTGCCGCGCAAGGCGTGAGTATTCATTGCGGATGTATGTGTGATGATACACTGCACGCGGATAGAGAGTGTGGAGCTGTTAGTGGTTGACAAGGGTTGGGCTAATACGCTGGTTGTCGGGGCAGCGAGCGACTCGCTTGGGGTCTACCGTGCTCATGCACCCGAGCCACCCGAACACAAACAGGGTTCTAGAAAGACTTGTCTCGCTGCCGTCTCCGGGTGGCGCCTTTCGAAGGCCTTTGCCCGGTTTTCACCTCGTGGTTTCAGGAGTCTGTCTGTTGCCTTGCCTTAGTATCCATATACTTACTGGGCACGGTCCACAGCGTAAAGGCCGCCTAATCACCTGAGGGCGTCGTGAGGCATTGCGGCAACAAAGGACACTTTGAGCTAGACGCGCACAATGATCTAATCTGATTTGATTTGATTTCATCGAGTCCCACATAATTGCAGCCGCGAAGTGCAGCCATGCCCGGTAGGCTGGCCTGGCAAACAGCCGACACGGTGCGGACGTTGATCCGCGCCGGCCCACTTCATCCCAGAGGGACCATCTCTCCCCAGAGGCCTGTCGTTTTCCTCTCATCACTATCTAAACTATGGCGCCTACCTTATCTAGACCGCGATTCTACTAATAAGATGTTGTGTTTCTAGGCTCGTAGAGGCGCGCTGCCTCATCTGTCGCGTCCGTTGTACCTACAGTCTCCCCCCAGCGCTCGGCTATCGTCCACGCGCGTACGACCCCATCTCGCCTACTAAGGATCTGCGTCTGCTCTAAATACTGGATAACTTTTATGGCTAGCTGTCGCGTGCTTAGGATGGCCTGGAGGTTGTCTCCTCTGGACAGGTTGGTGAAGACACGGTTCCGGACATTCCTGCGCTTGCTGTAATTGAGAAGGATGTGCGCGACGGTCTGTCGACTTGCTCCGCAGTCGCAGCGCGGGCTGGTGACATCTAGTATTCTTCGGCCGAAGAGGGAGTCGTTGAATCCGATTTTCTCAGTCCGTAGCTGTACTAGCAGTGCGCTCTCTCGTTTAGTGAACCCCTCGTGGAGCCGGAGTACCTTTCTAGTGGGCGTCGGTGTATGTCTGTAGATTGCTCAACCCTTTGTGTCTGTACACCACTTTGCTATCCATTCCCTTTCTGCTTGTGTCTTGCACCAGCTTTTCACTGTCGACCTTATGGCATATGAGTTAGCAGGCGCATTTGCTGATAAGCTTCTACGGCCGTCTTCCCTGCATCGGGTGGCCTCCTTGGCCGCTTTGTCTATGGCCTTGTTTCCGGGCATGCCCAAGTGGGCTGGTATCCAATGGACAGTCGCTGTTTGTCCTCTATCCTGGAGCTGCTGAATCTGTTGCGCGATATCCGCGAGAATATAGGTGCCTGGTCGTCCTTCCGCCTTCGCGATGGACCAGATGGCAGCTTGATTGTCTGTATATATGGCGACGTCTCATCGCACACCGTTTCGGCTCGCCCGCTCTTGGACGATCTGCAGTGCTAAGCTGATGCTTTGTGGCTCTGCTGCGTATACCAGCGACGCTGTATCTGGTCCCATATGCACGGATCGTGTCTGTTGTGTGAGTGGACACAATGCTGCAGAGCCTATTTCGCCTTCTATACCGTAGACGCGCACAAAGCGTCACGTTTGTTTTCAGACATTGAAGATAGGGATATGGTGGGAATTCAATACAACATTGTGTCAACAGCCTGAAACGATTGGAGCATCGGTGAAAGCAGAAGAGTTCTCTGCGTTCGCCTTTTCTGTCCAACGAACCTCTCGGCATCCACGCTCCTAAGATCAAAACAGCTTCCAACGCTGAGAAAACTATCCTTGTTCTTTTTACCTCCCCTCTGGACCTCCAAATGTCCGATAGAGATGAAAGTTCGCGAATGGACAGGAGTGAACTGGAAAGGGAGCGCCTAACGGGCTCAGGGAGAAGATCGCCAACATGAGCAACATTGCGAGGATTTTATTCGGAGGCTGTCCACCTAGAGCAACAGTAGGAATAGATCTGTGCGTAAGAATCACGGCTTTATAAAAATCGTGAAAGCGACAATCCGAAGGTCCGAAGTGCAAGTTCGTCCCGTCTCGGGGAGCGTCCCGTAACCCAGGGATGGACATTACTGTACACCGTCAATGCAACAACTGGACAGCCTCGTGCACGTCCCGGGTCTAGTTTGCAGCTTCTGTGGCTTATCGTACCCCGCACTTGTTAGGGACAGATTCCTCCTATTAGAAGATCGTTGTACTTACCCCGCTCCCTCCCTCAATGCCAGGGTTCAACTAATCGGAAACCCCAGAATAATCATAGTTACAGATCTGGGATCGCACGTGACAAGTGGTATGGAGTAAAGCACTGTGCAGTCTGGTTTATTTTCTACGTACTGATTAAAGCTAGGCCGAGCGACCCAAATATCAAGCTAAGGCCTACGAAACGTGGCGATGAAACAGAAGCCCACTCAGACGTTCGATTGCTGATAGCATCGCATGTCGTTTCTACGATGATTCGGAAGAAAAGGTTGGCTGGATGGTTTACTTCGATGAATACCCTAGAGAAGCCTTGGTGGATGGAATGAAGGCCACAGTAAAGGCGCGCTCAAAGCCTAGAAGCGAAACATATCCTTGTATCGATTCGTACCTTGAAGGAGAAGAAGAGGGATCGGATAACCACGTAGCCTTATGAAACATATCCACAGTCGAGACCTGCAGCCTCTTCCACGTGCATATAGAAATGCCCCGCACTTGTCTGCAACGCTGGCAAACCATTCTTGCTTCTACTAGCAAACACACCCACGCCACCGTTCTGTTAATTCTTCTCTGATCATCTTACACCCAGCATGTGCTCTATCCAAATCACTACATATCTTAACTGTCGCCGAAACCCTCAACATCAAGTGAGAGGGGATTATCTCCGGTGTGATACAGCACGACAACGTCAAGATCAGACGCTGTGCATGCCCCCAACTTTACAACTCAGAGACTTGCCTCTCTCTCTTGACGCTCAGGATACGAATGTAGGTGGGAGATGCCCTACATGCGATGCAAGGACGCCGTCCAATTCATCGGACTGAGTTCGGTGAGTACCCCAACCAACCCTCTTACAACGCTCACGAGCAAGGTTGCATGCTTTACCATGAAGTTGTTCAAATTCACTATTTTGTTACTTTATTAGCTAGCTCACTTTCAGTTGCAGCATGACATACAATTTACCGTCCTTTTTAGAGACTTTGTATACTTCGTAGGGTATCTTAGCCTTGTCGATGGTCGGATTTGTGTTACAATGTAGATCAAGGACGATGTGCATCTTAGAGGAGTTGTTAGCGGCCATTAAATGAGAGTAGTAGTCATTTCCCAGCTCGTAGCTGATTTGAGAAAAGAAACTCTTATTAATCGCGCTTTCCTCGAGCTCGTATGTGACTTGGAAGCGGAGCACAACTCGCTTCGGTATGGTGCGCTCCTCCATCACGTCGGTACGGTCTTGCGAGTAGGCTGCACAGCACTTTGGCATGAGCCAGCCTGGCCCGTAGAGAGTCCAAGCAATAGGAGCTTCCGCTATAGTATTCCCTTGTGTATAATAGTAATGTAGTTGGAAAGCGGACGCGTTGTGTAAATGATGCTTGCGCGGTCAGGGGCGGTGTGGAGAGGCGTCAACGTGCGATCGTTTGAAGTACAAAGTATCGTCGTTAGTTGTTGCAGATCTATGACGAGTTAGCAAATATTCCCTAGTAAAAGCGCAGAAAAACTTGCTCTATAATGTTGGTTGCATGTGGTTGTAACGATGGTGCATGGGAAGATGCCAATGCCGGCATGTTCTTGGCATAGGGTACTGACCTTCGCCACGCCTAGTGCGATGTGTTAAGGTACCTGAACAAAATTAGGTATTTTGACTTCCAAATTTCACGAGGCGCTGTCATGTTCTTCAGCTTGAACTATTGTGTTCGGATTTAAGACTAGGCTTCTTGGTTGTCTCTTGCACTGCACCTATGTAATTACGTGGATGTTGACACCTTGCCACCAAAGTTACGACAGCTCTTCTTTGTAGCAGAAGCGAGCCCGAACTCTCACAGAGCTACCACAATACACAAACTGCCATTGCAACCTCTTGCTCATATCTAGCTAAGTCCTAGACTTATTAAGTTATCTCACTAGGCATACGATCTGCTGGAGCCACGTGATAGCATAGCCACGTGATAGCATAGCCACGTGACAGTTTACGAGTAGGAGTTACGGCGCAGCGTCTGAGGAAAAATGACTCCAGCTTTGGTGAGAGTAGTAGAACGAAAAAATCGATTTCTCACTAAAACAGTGTCTCACTACTCCACCACCCTGAAGTATGGCGAGCTGGGGCAAACTTATATAATAGAATCCAAGAAAAATAACTACCTCCGCGTATTTTTAAGAATGCGCATTGCATGCAAAGTATCCTCTAGACAAACAGGGGCACCTACTCTTTTTTAAGCGTTTTCACGCCAAGATCGCCCTTTTTGACAGAGAAATGCAAAAAAAATCTACCACAATATATCCGTTATATAGCAAATATCCACCTCCTACATCGCGCTGTCCAATATCTAATGGTGGTGGAAATGTAATGTGAGGTAGGAAAAAACCAGCTGTCACCAAAATCTTGCGCGGCTCCCACCAAAGCACGAATCATTTCTCCTCAAACGCTCTGCGGAGCCAGCTACTCGTAAGCTGGCACGTGCTTATGCTATCACGTGCTTGACTTATCACGTGGGTAAGGCGCAGCGTCTGACTAGTGAGATAAAGACTTTTAGATAGCATCGCCTTAAGTGTAGTCGGCCGCAGGGCTGCGAGTGGCGATCAACTCATGCGGAGTGTCAACATCTGTCGGTACTTTTAAGCGAATTCGTCCAGTTACGGCTATCGCTGCTGCTCGCCGACACGACTCTACACGTCCCTGAAACGCGCTTGAACTACGGAGTCAGCAGCCAGCTGTGCATAGCGTGGCTTTATCTCACTAGTCAGACGCTGCGCCGTATCCACGTGATAAGTCAAGCACGTGACAGCATAAGCACGTGCCAGCTTACGAGTAGGAGTACGGCCACCGCCCACGCAATCCAGCCAGGTGGTTCGTGCACGGCGTCTGATTAATGAGATAAGCGTAGCTACGTGATGGAGCGGCGTGGCGCGGCTCCCGCAAGCAAGCTTGAGGACAGGCGCTGCCACGTACTGTCAGCGCGCTTACTGAAGGAGCTGGCCAGTACCCTTGGACCTTGGAAGGACTAGTAACTCATCTCTTTGAATTATTGCCACGAAAATACGCTGACAGATAAGTAGTGGCAAACGAGGCCGCGCTCCCATGCAACCGACAAAACCGGAAAATCAAAACAACCGGGCTCATCCCACCAAAACCTACCATCCGCAACGCGAAATATCTCTACAACTACGTAACGTGCATCCCTTCGTACCGGAACAACCGGTGTGGCGGAACACTATTTCTTGGGCAGGTAAACAAGAGGCAGAAACGCTTTTAGATACATGCTCCAAATCTCTTATCGATTTTCCTTGCCTATATCCTACACACAGCTAACGTTCAGATAGAAAAATACACAGCGGTGTGGGTATATGTCGTCAATACGCCGGCGGCAACATTTCGTGTCTCAACTAGCACGTCAGCCTACGCAACTATTCTACTCTGAACTCTGTTGTCGGTGATCTTCGGCGATCATCTGAGTATCGAAGTTTCAGATCGTTGTCTCCAAATACTAGATAATGATCTGTGGTGGTGACCAGAAAGTTTCTCCGTCGCTAGAGCGATTGGCAAAATCCGCGATGAGAAGTTAGCGCAACGAGCCCAGCTTTGTCATCTGTAATCTATATTCACGTGACTCTTTTCTTAGCCAGTCATCTATTGTCAGCACAACATGAAGAACATCTACTATTGGGACATGTACACAGTAGAGGAAGCTGTGAAGTATACAACAGCAACCATGGACCCCGCCAGTCGGGCACTTGCCCATGAATTGCCTCCTAAGTTGCGCAAGAACATCTCTGCTCGAGCTAGACATGGTTGATTGATTGATTGATTTATTAGTCCTAATGTCCATCCCTAAGACCCGGGACGCACCCCGAGACGAGACGGTTTTGCACTTCGGACCTTCGGAACATCGAACGCGCAACTTAATAAAACTGTGATGAATGTACATAGATCTATACTATTACTGCTTCAGCAGGACAGCCTTCGAGCAAGATCTCTGCAAAATTGAACATGTCGCTGATCTTTTCCTCAAGACGGTTCGTCCCCTCTTTACTATTCGACCCCTGTCCAAACACGACGTTACATCTCCATTATATATTCGGATATCTACAAAAGAAGCACAGGTATTAGAAATAGTTGTCTCAGAGTTTAGCACTGCTAAATGGTCAAGATTGTGAATGCCGGCAGTTTCGCCGTGCGGAGAAGGAAACGAACAGAAGCCTCCCTAGGTAGCGAGATACATGTAACCATGTTGAAATGATGACATAATGCCGTAATATATTCGTGCTCTATTCCCAATTGATCAGTGTATCTAAAAATAGGTGTGGCGCTTGTTGTGGGTCTTCAAACGAGAACGAGTGCGGAGTCGCTCGCAGTACTCTCCATCACCGCGCCCATGGCCGACCTTCGATGCAGAACAAGGCCCAAAGCCAGCAATACCTGACACTGTGCGAAGAGAGTGCCCTCGTCAAGTTCATCTTACACATGTCAGATCTCGAACGGCCCGTGTGAATCAAACACACTCCCTCGCTCGCCTTCATCGCTACCCACGGCCGACCCGCGACGAACAGACCCTCCAAACCCCCAGGCAAAAACTGGACAAAGGCCTTCGAGAAACGCCGCCCAAAGACGGCAGCGAGACGCGCCACGGCGCTAGACTGGAACCGCCACGAGAATAACATCGCCGATAAGATGACACATGGGTTCGAGGTGATAGCGAAGGTACTGCGCGCTCCAGCTATCGTAGCAGAGAATGTCTATAACATGTAGGAGATCGGGATCATGCTATCTATGATTGGCTCAGTAAAGGTGCTCGTAGGTAAGGGTGATAATAAATATACATAGGCGCGCGTGTGAAGTGGACCACCCATCGCTGTAACTGGACTGCCTTTCCTACTCCTTGATGGGTTAGTTACAGTGAAACTATTTCCTTGCATGCCTAACTACTACTAACTACGTCGGCCGAATGGCGCCCAGCGCTCTGGATATTACTTAATTCACTTTGTCAATCTGTAGTAAAACAACTGTATTAATTTACGGTAGAGCTGCACGCTTAAAGAGATTGGCAAACTTGGCGGGGTGCGGCGCTCGCTTGTAAACTATTCAAAGTGAAACATAGGCACTGGAAGCACGAATAGACCCATTGTTACTCTTTTATTGCTGTCGAAAGTAGTGGTGTTGAAATGGGGGTCCCGCTTATGGTATATCTCCCGTAGTGCCTAAGTTTAATGACTTATACACGTCTTCAGTACTACCCATAATGCAGGTTTTGCCACGATATGATTCTTCATGGTAAAGCTTCAAAAACGACATCTCTTCCTCCTGGTCCGGTTTGGCTAGTGACAGGCCGTACTTATTCTTCGCATCATTCACGTGCATTAAACCCAATATGTTTGCCCGGATGTCTCTCCATCGCGTGAGGGAGAGGCTAACAGCACTAGCTATGAGCATGTGCCATACATGAACCGATTCGGAACGATCACAGGATACCCAGAACCCACATTCGTTTGGCATGACTTCACGAAGCTCTTCAATAGTCCACGGTACACGTGCACAATTGTCATTGCTACGCCTGTCAATAATCATAATTGCCACTAATCGTGCATCTTGGGTCGTTTCGTAAATAGCCCCAGGCTCACCCTCTGTTGCACAGTTAGCTGGAAATTCAGACTACGAGAGTGAGTCTGCACAGAGAGAACTTATCGCGACCTACCCAAAATCTCAGACACCGTAGAGACCAGATGTTCAACGCTCATGGTACTCTATGCTGACTTGCATGTGCTGCTCGAATGTTATTGAAGAAAGATTGGTGCTTCGCTAACGATCAAGAGAACCCCTCCCTATATACCTATCCATGTGTGCGCTTTGTACATTACTCAGCCTGACGTGCCCCACTCTCATTTATCTCCACGAGCCAATGAAAAACCTGCGGCTAGCGCAATGGTGGGCGTGGGCTTATGCCGCTAGGTAGCATCTTCTCCGCGGCGCAGTACCAGCTATTAATTCCCTTCAAGAATAGCGCGGCTTGACTGCTCATAAATCACCGCTAATACTTCGTATACTTGCGGCTTTTCTATGCAATGTATAGTCGCAGATTATTGAGGAGTTGCTTGGTCGGTTCCGGCACACCAGGATGCCTTTCACGAAGGGATGGACGCTAGAGCGTAAAGATACAATTATCTATTTTAAGTAATGCTTCAACATCCACTTCGTAAACTGCACACAGCCACAATAGTCACCTTTGGCAGCCTAGAGTAAATTACACGCTAGCTGGCTAGTCACATGAATCGTAAGTGCGGGTTCAGTTACGCACCAACCGCATTGGGAAGCTGCATGGGAGGCCGCGGCGCAACAACCACAGTTCCCCCGAAAGCTCCTCCTACAACCCACGCTGTTCAACATCTACCTATGGGTCCAGAATCAGAGCGACGTATTGCCAACGACTCTGCGTCCGGTATGCGGCATTGAGGCTCTTTCGTTGTTCTACGCCTAAAGTCAGCGACAATGCGATTGTCGATAACGACTCCGATGACGCCAACGACAACGGAATCACCATCAAGTATGACTATGCGGCAATGCATACAATGGAGACAGGCATGCCGGATAAGACAGAGTATAGCAAACGATAGCTAACTACCTCTAAAACTAATCCAACGTTCAGATTGATGCCTGATCGCTAATTAGCTCGGTACTTCTTCAGGGAGCGCCCTCTATGTATAGCGATTAAGTTATCACCAAAGTTACCAAAGCAGAGTTGCTCTTGAATGTTAGACCTTTGTTCATGTTTAGGATACGTACATATGCTCTGTAACCAGCACCGATACGTTCATCTGTTATGACCACATCCATGACAAACGTGCTCTCTAAGTTTCAAGCGTCGGATCGGTAAGCACTTTGTTTGTTTGTGCTGCTTCAGTCAATAGTCCCGACGCGTCTAACTACTTCTTGCTCATCTGGAACACTCTCATCAACCGTAATTTCTATGTACGCTTAAGCTTACTGGCCTTGTGTGGACTTATGTATCTAACTAACCAACTAAGTAGTTAACTATACCTCGATTTAGCTTATGTCAAAGCAATGACACGCTGACGCATAAGCAATTCACGAGCAAAGTCCCATTTGATGTAAGCGATCATGAATATCGTTTGATCTCAAGATGTCTCATTAGTAGTTTGAAGGAGAGCCCGCAGTATGTACAACGCATACGGGAATGTGCTATCAAAGTCTGTTCACATGGGAATAATGATTTACCACCATTTGACGAACAGGTGTATCGCGGCTGCCGCTTGCTCACACCACGTAATGATTGGGCGAAACACATCAACGGTCAGAGTGCCCAATTTTCCCAGATTGGCGCGATAAGCTAATTGGACAATGTGAATCAGGCAGACTGCATGGAAAGAAGCGGTGCATACAGCTAGGTTGTGAAGGCAGAGCGCACAGGCCATCGCTAAGGCAATACACACGTAGGTTGCAGCTTTGAGGCTGAACTAAGGTGGTGAGCTGGTCAAGTAGTGGGTTTTTGGATGGAACGGAGGACAAAGTTGGGCCGAGGAGAGGGCGCGCTCGTGGCTGGGTGGTCTTACTGTG